CTGCCTAACGCCTCCCCCCCCCCAAAAAAAAAGAACTGCAAGGAACTACTGCCTTAATGTTGCACGATTCTGTAGTCCTATAGTTTACGGTTCTTCAAATCGGCTTTTTGCAAGTATACATAAACTGCTTGTGGCATCAACTTGTGGGATATGGCGGTAATTCTGCAAGTACAACTAATGCATAAACCTGCCCAAAGCCTGCTAGAGATATACGCGCAGCGTTAGCGTTTCTTTGACCGGAGGATTGGTGAAGTACATTAACAGCTCATTAGTATTAGGGTTACAACTCGCAAAATTGATCACTGGGCCACAGAATTCGTTAATAACGCAAGTGCGGTAAAGTAATGTAGGAGATGTCTGTTCGAGGTTGACCATTTTGTTGCTTTATTTACTGCTTTATCTATTCTTTAAATTTGACATGTTGTTTTTGTGACTTTATCAGTGGCGGAATGCACAATTTATTAAAAGATTTTAGATTTAGAAAAGGATATTTTGTAGACGATTACGGTTCAAGCCTCAGGGGTCTGTCTGAAGAATATCTTCAGCATACGCTGAGAATGTGCGAGGGTTCAGGGGGAGATGATTAGAGACAGAAACGATACTGACAACAGGGTCTGAAGTATAAGCATAAACACGTAAAGCTACTTGGTGGTGTTACTCTATATCAAGATCATGATGCAGAATCCTCTAGAAAGAACAGGAAAGGTCGAATGCAACTGTTGGAGCCAAAAAGGCAAATAAATTATCTTATTAAGGATAAAGCCTCACTTTTGTCTGATTTCCATGAATTCAGAAGGGGTTCGGAAAGGTTTATCAGCAGCATAAACGGGAACAGAATGGATGCGTAGCCAGCCATGTTGACCAGGAAGTTGGCGAGCCACTGTTCGCGAACAATCACCATGCGTTCATCATTTCCTTCCGTCCCACTTATTCCCTCCTTGGACCATATAGTGACATAGAGGGCAAGCAAAACGAGAACATAGAGGAAGAAGGTGGCGCAGACCCTTTTCAAAGAGAAGATGAAAAGGTGGAAGAATTCAGGATGCATTCATTTAGACCGAAACGAGAAAAAAATTCGGCAGCTGGCATTTCACAGTGAAGTAAGGTGAGAAAGGTATGGAAGTTTTGGGTAATTTGGATATATTACCAGACATATAAACAAATTTCTAAATACCGAAATGCAAAATGGAATCTGGGGACAAACCCTGAGGAAAAGTTCCCAAAGATTAATTTCATGTGCTGAATTTTTTTAAAAATTTCGGTACTGGGACAGACAGTTTATAAAAAGATGCGGGAAGATGTGAGACTCAAAGGTTGATTGGACTTATAGATGACCGAGGCAGATAATTATGTTAAGTTCTAAGCAATTTATCTTTAGATATCTTTATCTGGGAGTTTGTTATACACGAAGAAGCTTAGTAATAGTAAAACAGAAGTCCTTCTGAAGGATTATGAAAGGCAGCAGAAATTCAAGATAACCGACTTGTAACCTAGGATTAAAAAACGTTATTGAGACAGACAATTCGGATTGTAAATAGCCAACTGACAAAACGCTTACGTCCAAGTTAAATGAATAAATTTCGAAGCAAACCTGAGCGGTGTGAAGTATTCAACGAGTGTGCATGAGAAAGATCGCCGGGGTGGATCCATCTTTGTTTCAAGCATTATTCAATTCCTATGAATGAGAAAGAAAGTCAATTAAATATTACACTTTCATAAATACATTTAAAGGGACTTCTTTAATCGCAAAGGTATCTCCAAATCACTCATGTCTATGAGCCTTAAAAAAGGACAAGTTTAGATTCAAAAATAGTAAACATTAATTGTAGACTCGAAATGCCATGTAGATAGTCCAAATAGTGTTTCACTTAAATTCCTAAAGTATTTGACTCCATGTGCGTCTTCCCATATGCAAAAACAATAAGCCAGAGATGTAACCACACTTAAATGGACGTTGAGCAAGCAGATCACGAACGCTTTCATAAAATTTTACTAGTGATTTTCGTTGTGGCGAAATCGATGCACAAATAGGTAGGATTCCGCATGCCTATTGGCTGAAACGACAACCTCAATCGGGTTAGTAAACCATATCAATACCCGCGTGGCTGACGCGTAAGCTAACTACGCCCTTGAAACACATGGCCCCGCCGTGAGGGCGCGGCTCAGAAGGGGCCAGGAGGGGATGGCCCCGTCAGAATTTAAGTAACGCCAATTACTATTCCAGAAGTTATTTG